GAGGGACAGCGCAGGAGGGGAAGACCCTCTACGAGATGGATTGATTCGGTGACTGGGGTAATCGGGATGGATGTGTCAGAGGCAGTGCGGTTGTCGCAGGATAGAGCAGTGTTTAGGGCTGTTGTGCATAGGGTCGCTATGAGTCGCAAACGACTCGATGGCACATAACAACAACAACAACCGAAAGCAATATATATATTCAACACAATCTCAATACAGATACTAAATTCATTTTTCATGGAGGTTGAAAGGGAAATTGTCAAGTTTATTTGGAGAGGAAAGAGACTCTGAATAAGCAAAGCATTTCTGAAGAACAAAAATGAAGTGGCAGGCATAGCACTCCCTGACCTCAAAACACAGCAGTAGTAACCAAACAGCATGGTACTGGTATAATGACAGGCACATAGACCAAGGGAACAGGATTGCGAACCCAGAAATGGACTCATCTATCTACAGTCAACGGATATTTGACAAGGAAATTAAATCTGTCAAATGGGGAAATGACAACCTCTTCAACAAATGATGCTGGCAAGACTGGTCCAACTGTATAAAGCTGAAACAGGATCTCACAGTTGTTTTGATTTGCATCTGATGTTTATAATTATCTGCTATGCATCTGAGGGCTGATAATGAAAAAAGAAAGACAGAAGAATAATTGATGCCTTTGAGCTGTAGTGTCAGAGAAGAAAGAGTACAAATATCCCAAATCAGATATGTCTAGGAAAAAATGCAGCTGAAGTATTATTTGGAGACAAAGATGATGAGACTCTATCTCTTATATTTTGGACATGTTGCTAGGAAAAACTTTTCCTTAGAAAGTGACAAGATGATTGGAAAGATGGAGAGTTAGCAAAGGAGAAGAAAATACCCAACAAGATGGATTGACATAGTGACTGCAAAAACAGGGTCGATGTGGCAGAAATGATAGGGATGGCATAGGATAGGACAAGGTTTGAGTCTGTTTTCATGGGGTCAGTTTGTGTCTTTTTCAACTTGATGACACCTTATGACAACAACAATAGCTAGCGGCATTGAATATTTTTTTGTATATTCTTGTTTTGGTGAAGTCTTTTAATATCTGGTGCCCATTTTGTAACTGGGTTGTTTGCCTTACCTTTGTTAAGATATTAGAGGTTTCTATAACTATTAGATGTCAGTCCTTTATTAGATATGCCACTGCCAAATATTTGAAGGGAAAATCAAGGTGAAATGAATGGATGATCCATTCAATGAATGGATGATACATTGTACATATTTAGTTTAACCATGTGGAATAGGATATGCATGACTGATTGACAGAGAAAAAAAATGACAAAGGAAAGATTTACACAGATTGAAACAATTACAGAGAATTGATATGGATAAGAGCATGGAGTGGGGAAAAGGGAGCAGAGATTAGTGAATGGATGGGTAGGGTGAAGAGAAAGGCAAGGTACAATGAGAACATGATGAGATATTGATATTAATAGCATTGATCAATTGTAATGAGTGTTATAAAACTGTATATAAATGAATGCAAAACAATATTATTATAATGTATTCTGCCTTTTAAATCTTTCAGAGTCTCACAGTCTTTCTAAATTGTAGACAAAAATAAAAATATTTGGAATACAAAAATTTTTATTGATTAAACTATATATTTAAAATATATTAAAAATAAAAATCTAATTTTGACACATTTCCTTACTCATATATTCCTATGTGAAACTCTGCATTTATTAAAAAGAAATATATTAAATGTTGCTTATTCTAATCATTTGAAAGTAGAATTTGAAAAGAAAGGTTTTGAGTATTTTTAGAAATGTGATGTTAACTTAGTTAAGGCAGTTAATGCCTGAAGAGTAGATGATGACTGAAAAAATATGTTGAATGATCAGTATGAAATATCAGAAGTTGTGACCACCAAAGTCAGGGGTTGATATACAACTTGTATAGACTATAAACACAATTCTTCTAAAAATTTGTAGCACAGTAGTTTAAATCTTGGGCTTTAACTATTATCAGTTGATTAAAGTTAAGATTTGAACATGTGTTAAGTTTGTATGTGTGTAAAAATCTACAAGTCAGTTGACTGAAAAACTGAGATAATTATTTAGGATAGAAAAAAAATTACATTAAAACTTTATTTTTAGGAGGTAATTATTACAATTCCAACAAGCCAACAAACCATATATTTTTTTAAAAATCATAGATGAGAATTAAATTGTTCTTTAGAGTCAATTTATTTTAGTTTATTTATAATATCAAAAGAGGTTACTTTTTTAAAAATATTAAAACATCCATAAATACTATAGAAGTAAACAAAATTAAAGTCATTTGAATAGGTTGTTTTCCCCCATTTATGTTATACAAATGACCAAACCTTGCTGGAAGTGAGGAAGATTCGAAATATTGCTGCAGAGGTAGAATAATGCAGCCTTTGTGTGGATTACATCTCAACATCAAAAAACATAGGTTCCCACTTAGGACCAACAGAAAACATCATGATAGAAATAACTGAAGCTGTCAAAGATTTTATCTTGCTCAGTTGTAACAATCAATTCCTTTGGATTCAGCTCTTGAGATCAGAAGATGTACTGCATTGGCAAGTCTGCTGTTAGGGACCTCTCCAAAATACTTAAGAGCAACATTGTTAGCTTGAAGATTAAGGCACACCTGAATCAGTCACCTGCTTTGTATCTGAAAGTTGGACAATGAATAAAGATGACAGAAGAATAATTGATACTTTTGAATGGTGATGATAGAGAAGAGTACTGAATATCCCCTGGACTGCCAAAAGAACAAACAGATACATCTAGGGAGGAAATGTAGCTAAAGGGCTTCTTAGAGGCAAAGATAGCAAAGCTGGCTCTGTCTCTCATACTTTGGACATGTTGCTAGGAGAGACTATTCCTTAGAGAAGGACATCATGTTTGGGAAGATGGAGTGTTAGCTAGAGAGGAAGACCCCAAATCAGATGGATTGACATTGACACAGTGACTGCAGCAATGGGCTCAAATCAGAGATGACGAGTATGGTTCAGGTCTGTTCAGTTTCTGATACAGTAACAAGGTTCATCACAAGGTTCAGGTCTGTTGTTCATAGGGTCACTATGGGTCATACTCAACTCAACGGCACTAACAACAACAAGACATACATTTTCTATAGAAATATGAAGCTATGCAACAAATTTCACTTTCCATAGTTCTGATTTAAATTCCTATAAATCCTATTTGATAGGTTGTTGTTTGTTGTTAAGTGTTGTTGAGTCATAGACAACCCCTTGCAACCCTATGAACAAAAACCCTGAACCCTGTTGTATAACTATCATTATTTCTCTAAGTTCACAGAGTTTCTGGAGGCAAGCTATTTAGGAAGTGGATGTCACTCCTATTTCCAAGTTTGTTTTAATCTGGGAGTTCAACCAAGCACTGTCACCATTGGTAATCATTATCACATTTGACGCATCAGTGTCAGTTGTTTAGCATCACAGCATCCATGAGTTACCTCTGTAAACCAAATTAACAGAACAATGCTATACCACTTAAAAGAATGTATAGATATTTTTATTGTAAAAATGTTTTCATATTACTGTTTACAGATACATGGATGTGCTTTCAGTTCTTTACCGTTTACTTTTATATCAATATTTAATATACTAGTTACCATTTCTAATTAGGGGGAAAATGGAAATTTCTTTTTCTTTACAAGTTCAACAGAAAACTGATGTACAAGGAAATTGTAAAAGTTATAGCTCTTCTAAAAGAATATGTCCTGGTTACTTGATAAGGTTTATAATAATTTATCCATTAAAGATTATTTAAATTGTATAAATGCCAGCATGTACAGTTTTAATAATATGTAGTTTTATGCCTTTTAAGAGGAAGTCGGGTTTACAGTTAGTGAAAAGTTGTTCTTAGGTGTCACTGAGTTGATTGCTTCTCAAAGCTGCCCTATGTACGTACGACATATCAAAACCTTATTCAATTGTGCATCCCCTTTCCATTCGCCTCAGTGCTTAAGCTCCTTGTGGCAGTCATCCTTTTTCTGTTCTTCTTCTTCACTGTCACTTCCATGATTTTTCAATCAAGAGTCCTTTTCCAGGGGCTGACTCCTCCTAACAATATTCTTCAAGTATGGAGACAAAGGATCATCAATTTCACCTCTGAGGAGCACTCTGGCTGCACACCTTCCAAGGTAGATTTGTTTGTTCTTTTGACAGGTTCGTGATATATTTAATACTCTTCAGCTGTACCAAATTCAAAGACAAAAATTCCTCATAATTCTTATTAGTTATCCAAATTTCAGATGTGAAGCAATTGAAAATATCATGAGTTGGGTCAGATACATTTTAATCTTTGAGCTAACATCCTTGTTTGTTAACACTTTGACTTAGTCTTTGACAGCAGATTTTTCAAGCTGAGTACATGTTTGACTTCTTGACTGCGGCTTTCATGGATGTTGATTGCAGATCTAAATAAAATGAAATCCTTGGAAATTTCAATCTTTTCTCTATATATCATGATCATGTTTGTTGTCCTAGTTGTGATGATTATCATTTTCTTGATGTCGAGGTGTAATTAATATTTAAGGCTGTAGCCCCAAAGCACACATATCTTAGATTCCCACTTACCTATTGTAGATGACAACAACTGAAAGTAGCAATGTGATAGAACATTTATATTCTTTTTTTTAACATAGTGACTGAGGCACCATGATGAAAACAATGTACTGAATACATGGAGTACTGTGCATTAAGATATTTACTTAAACAAAAGACCTTTTGTTGGCTTTCTCCCCCTTAGAAAAAATACATGCATGTGGAAATCAAAGGGTAGAGATAACAGTTTTTCAATTTTTCATCATAGTGAAAGTGATGAGCTCTACTGAAGAGATTGAAATTGAGTTAAGGAAAGAGATGATTCATTCAATTCTGGTCATGTTAAATATATGATACTTATGTGGAGATTTCTAATGAGGTACATCAATATATGGTTTTAGAGCTTCGAAAACATACATGGTCAGCAAAAGCTGGTATAATATTGCTGCTTGTGTAGTTTCTTTATTGCCATCTTCATGTCTTTGTTTCTTAATGTGTAAATGGCAGGATTCAAGATAGGAGTAATAGCAAAGTCAACAATGAAGAGATACTTATCAAGTGGCGATGTGGGGAAAGGCCATACATAGAGAAACATACATGGAGTGAAAAAAAGAAGAACTACAGTAATGTGAGCTGACAAAGTGACAAATGCCTTAGATAAATCACCTTTAGAACGTTTCCAGACAGTGACCAAAATAAAAGCATAGGAAAGGAATAGCAGGAAGAAGGTGCCCAGGCTCATGAATCCACTGTTGGCAGCAATGATAAACTGAAACTTGTATCCATCTATGCATGCAAGTTTTATGATCCTGGGAAAATCACAGTAAAAACTATCTACTCTATTAGGTCCACAGAAGGGCAAATTTATAACAAAAGCAAACTGAGACATAGCATGGACAATTCCAGTTATCCATCCAATGACTACAAATGAAACACACATTTTAGGATTCATTATGGTCAAGTAGTGAAGAGGCTTACAGATGGCTGTATATCTATCAAATGCCATTGCTATGAGCAGCACCATCTCCACTCCTCCTATGATGTGGATGAAGCATATTTGTGCCATACAACCTTGAAACGAAATTACTTTGTGTTCATTCAAAAGGTCTGTGATCATCTTGGGTACTGTGGTAGAGGAAAGACCCACATCAATAAGGGATAGATTAGCCAGCAAGAAGTACATAGGAGAGTGTAAATGAGAATCAAGAATTACCAAAAACAAAACAAAAAGATTTCCCAGGATGATCCCTAAATAGAGTAAGGAGAATATAAACATGAGGCAAATTTTAGTTTTTAAAGAACTGGAGAGTCCTAACAACACAAACTCAGAAATCACAGAGTTATTTAGTCCACCCATTGACTGGGACAGAAGAGCTGATTTCAAATGACCTGGAAGTAGGAAATGAGGAGTGTTAGAACCAGTGGCATTAAGAATCGATCTTCTGTTTACCCAGCTAGTTTATTCTATGAGTTTTATCTACTGAAATTAAAAATTATGAAATGAACAAAAATTAGAAAGTTTATGAGAAGATTATTATGAAAAGAATAAAATATAAATACTTCAGATGATGAAAACAATGTTACTTCCCTTCTGATTCAAATATCAAACCTTAGGGTTTTGCTGCTCCTTGAAAGGCTCCCTGACCACTTACCTGTTTTCTCACTGTGTAATGTCAATGATTTTCTGTCATCTGCATGTTAACATTCTTATATTAATTTACAAATCATCTTTCACTGAATTGCTTCTTTAACTAGGCAAGTAAAGATGAGGAGGAATTTCTCTGAAGCTCTAGGGCAAAGGGTATGTTGAACAATGATTGGATAAATATCAACATTTATTCTTGATCACAACTAATAATAACAAACCTCTAGACATATGTTTGTGGTTATTTGGGGTTGCTAAGCTGATTTCAACTCTTAGTGACCTCATATGTTCTTTTGAGGACTAAATGAGTCCTGAAAACAAGAAAAGTACCAGAAAATGTTCTCAGTGACAACCACGATGGGCTTCATCATGAGAGAGTTTATGAGGATGGTGCAGGATAGAGCAAGGTTCAGATCTGTTGTCCATGCGGTCACTATGAGTCATAGCCAACTCAACAACACTTAGGAACAACTTTATCTATTATGACAATTTTTAGGAAACAAAAAATTCCTTAGACTGGGAAATAGAAATTAAATATTGATGGCAAAAAGAAAACTTAGCATGCTTTTTCAAGCTGTGCTCCATTGTAATAGAACAATCAGGGTATGGGCATTACCTGTATTGTTATGATCTTAATATTCAGAGAGAAAGAGATGGGAGATTAAAAACTCTTCACACAGCACTTTAACTAGACTACTTGTATTTTGAAGAAAATAATATATTCTTGTCATGATACAATTAAAACAAGACTGAAACTCAAAACCTACTGTCATTGATTAAATTCTTTTTTATTATTATTAAATTTGAACCAATAAAGACTACATGGGGCCAAAGTAGAGTGTCCTGATGCTTTAAATATATATGGAGGCAGTCTGTTTCCTCTTTATCATCCAGAGTGCCTCAGAGGCTTGTACTGCCTAGCTTCTGGTTAGCATCTGAATGCCTTAACTTTTGCATCACTAGAGTTCATCGGAATGAAATCAGTGGTAATAAAATAAGTAGAGTAAAACTTCATTCAGATAAAGCTGAGTGGTAAGAAATTTCACTGACAATCCAAAGGCCTGTGGTTCAATTCCACCAGCTACTCCACAGAAGAAAGTGAGCAATCTCCTCCTGTGTGATTTATAGCATCTGAAAACCCACTAGATGGCCAGTTATGAGTCAGTTCTGACTCTGTGGTACATAACAATAACAACAACAATGAAGGAAATAGAAAAGCAAAAAAAGAAATAAAAAATGAGGAGCAAAAAGAGAAGGGCTAATTATGCAACCAAGTGCTAGAGAGTTAAAGCAGGTTTCCTACCTACCTGCAATAACTTGCAGAATGAGAAACATACAGGTCAACACCTTTTGAGATTCACTGTCATTACTCAAGACCAATTATTATAAATAGTTCTAATCATTAGAAATTAATCCAATTAGCAAAAGTGAGTTTTAATGGCCAGTATTAAAATCATATGAAACTTCAGTTCAGTCTGTCTTGTACACATTGGATTTGTTTTCCCGAGGGCCAAATAAAATGAGATATAAACAAAAAAGTAATAAGGAAACTGAGCAAATTAATGTGATGATCAGTATTTTGTAGCTCTGACAATATAGTTTTCAAGTTGGAAACTTAAGATAGTCATTTTAGATGTTTATTGAATTATTAAAAGTTGTTAAAGATACTGATAGTATATTTGACATAAATATCAGGTTGAAGATAACCTTAACATTTTCTTAACTACTATTTCTATTTAGAATTTGAGAATAAATTCATATTAGAAAAATTATGAATTCTCAGAAAAATCTCCTATTTGATTTATCTAATAAAATAAATATAGACTCATAAATCTCACTTGGGATTTTAATTCTATATTTTATATGGAAATTGCTGTCTATCTACTATAATAACAATAAGAACCAAGTAATAGCTGACACTTCAGCAGATTTCTAGGCACTGTAAATCACATTATAGAAGCTTACTCACAGCCTACCTTTAGATTAACAGCACTACTTCTTCACCATTTACCATCAGAACTCTCTGTATATCGTATATGTATTTCATAATATATATAAGTATATATTAATATTTCTACCTAGAGCTACATATATTTATATTTGCATCTATAGCTGAATCTATGTCTTTATACATTGTTGTTGTTATGTACTGTCAAATCCATTATGACTCATGGTCACCTTATGAACAACAAATAAGAACTTTGTCCTCTCTTGCACTATCCTTGCTATTTTTGACATGTTCAAGCCTGTTATTGAACAAGGATGGTCAAAGAAGTTGCCTTTGAATTGTGGTATTGGGGAAGAGCAGTGAATAGCCTATGGACTGCTAAGAGAACAAACAAGGTAGTCTTTGAGGAAGTGCAACCAGGATGCTCTTTGATGTAAAGATGGTGAAACTCCATCTCTCACACTTTGGGCATATCATCAGGAGGGGCCAGTCTTTGGAAAAGGATATAGTACTGGAAAGATGGAGGGTCAGAGAATGAGAGGAAGACTCAACAAAATGAATTGACTCAATGACTGTATCACACACACACACACACACACACACACACATTATTGTGTGCACAGCGTTGGAATAGACTCACAACTGTCCCTTTGGCAGGTTTTTAGAGGCATTAACTCACATTGGAGCAAATTATCCATTTTTCCTCCACAGAGAAGCTGTTGGATTTGAACCACATGCCTTTTATATATATGGGTTAACTATACTAGTCAACTCCCATTGCCACGGAGTCAGACTGACTTATAGTTGACCCTCCATTGGGTTTCTGAGACTGTAAATCACATAGAATTTTACCCATTTTTCTCTCAGGGAACAGCTAGTGCATTCAATTTGACAGAGAGGCTCAGGATTTGAGTTAGCAGTACAACTCCCTTCGGACAAGGCCACTTCACACACTACTGAACAGACCACAAAACAGCATGATCTACCCTAAATTTATTGTATGATCCCTGAGTTCTACTGTACAGAAGTTGTTCGTGGTTCTATCAGTGTGAGGTTGATTCAGTTCTTATTTACAGGAAAGTCAAGTTACTAAATTCAAGTGAATTTGCTTCATGTGGGTATTAATTATTTTTGGCCAAATATCAAGATTATTTAATGCCAAGGCTGGAAAAATTATGGATTTTGAAATAATGGAAAAAATAAATAGATAATGTATGTGTGTATTTGTAGCCAAACACTATATTTCACACCGAAAATATAGTTCCTATGAACTATATAACAACTCTATCTTCTTTGCAATATTGGCCTTAAGAAAATAAGAGCAATTATCAGGATGCAGGCATGTGACTTATTATCTCTACTGATTTGACTAAAGCCATAAGGAAAAGAACTTGCTTTTCTGTAGGCCAATCACTTAAAAAGACTAAAGATTAAATTCATACAAATATAACATAAACCACTTCAGCTACATCAGGATAGTGAAAGACTGAGTTACAATGCCATCTAACATTGTGTTTTGAGAATGGCGATGCATAAAATTTATTGGTTTTTGTGGCATACTTGTTTTCTGCTTGAACAATCAAATTTGTCACAAGGTTTAGTAAGTCTTACATATTTGGTACTCCTTTTGGTCACAAAACTATTCTTTTTATATAGAATATTTATTTTGATTTTGACAGAGGTATGATTTTCCCCTGCTAATGCCTTTGTGCTTCTAAAACACTCTTGAATCTATCTTTGTATTCAGCTTTTCTGCCTCAAAATATCTAAATGCACCTAACTTACCACTTGTTGAGGAAAAGAAAAAAAAATTAAAAGCCAAAATATGCCATATAAAGTGTTAGATGCTATTATCACTAAGTACTTTGTGCTTTCCTTTTCAGAAGGCAAAATTGTGTCACATGCATATTGCAGATTATCAATAAGTCTTCCTCTAATGCTGATGCCACAATCCTCTTCACATAGTTAAACTTCTCAGATTATTTGCCCAGCATACAGATCAGACAACCTTGACATGTAATTTACCCAACTATAAATCACACAGTATCCCTTGTTCTATTTGGACAACTACCTTTTGGTGTATACAATTTACTCATGAGTATATGTGAGTATTCTGGAGTTCTACTTTTTAAGTTACGCAACCAAATGCCTTCTCATAATCAGTAAAATATAAGGAAATTTCTTTCTTGTATTCTCTGATTTCAGCTAACCTTACTTCAGTTGCAATGATGTCCCTTGTTCCATGACTTCTTCTGAACTCAGCTTGAATTCCTAGAAGTTCTCTGCGAATGTACCATTACTACCTCTTGTGAATAATATTCAGTAAGATTTCAACTATATTTATGTTAATGATATTGTTCCATAGTTTCCACATCAGCGTATTTTTTGGAATGAACACAGAAATAAATCTTTTCCAGTTGATTAAGTGGGTAGCTATCTACCAAATTTCTTGACATAGACAAATGAGCATGTCTAGCACTGTGTTAATTTATTGAAACATATACATTGGTATTGTGTTAATTCCTAGAATCTAATTTTTTGTTAATGTCTTCAATGGAGCTTTGACTTCTTCACTCAGTACTATTGGTCCTTGATAATATGTTACTTCCTGAAATGGTTAATTGTTGACCAGTTAATTCTCTGTTACAATACCCTCAGATATTTGTTCATTTTCTTTTTTTTTTTTAACGTCTCCCATGTCATTTACTATTTCCCCTGTATTGTTTTGTGCCACCAAGTCAACTGTGAGTCATAGCCTCTGTAG